AGCAAAATGGTGTGGCAGAATGAAAGAATGGTCACATTCTCTGTGTTGTGAGGACTCTTCTACAAGAGTCACAAGCGCCTCCCACCTTCTGGGTAGAGGCCGCTAGTATGGCTGTGCATTTGATTAATTGTATCCTGTCATCGGTCCTTTGCAACATGTCTCCTCATCAAAAGATGTTTGGATCCCCCCCAGATCTTTACCATTTATATGTTTTTGGGTGTCTATGTTCTGTTCATCTTCCCTGTCGCGAATGTTCAAAGCTTTCAGCTCAATCTATCATGTGTGCCTTTGTTGGATATAGTCCTAAACCATAAGGGATTTCTTTGTTATGATCCCTTCGCACATCGTATTCGTATTTCTCAAAATGTGATTTTTCTTAAGCATCTCTTTTTTCTCAGGAGTTGCCAAATTATCTACACCCTTTATTTCTATTTTGTATGATTTTGACTCATAGGATGCTCCATCATCAACTGCTAGGAAAGATCCTCGTGTCTTCTCTCGTAGGCGAGTTTGTGGTCCAATACCCATGGTTTCAAATGTCGTGACATTTCGCTAATGTCGCCTGACATAAGTCGATGTCGAGGCTCATCGACATGGAAATGGATGGTAATATAAAAATTACATTATTTTGGTCGACATTTCCTATATTTCGGAAATGTTGACCAAATCGGTCCAAATAACCAAAAAAAAAGACAGTTTTTCCTATTATGTCGACAGGACGTCGACGAATGTACATTAATAATATAATATATTAGTATATTATATTAATATAATACAKTATATTAATATAAATTATTCCATTAATAATTTCTATTTAATATTTCAAATAAAATATTTATAAAAAAGAATTAACAAAAAATAAAAACAAAAGAATAAATTAATTACTTTATAATATAAAACATAAAATATTTCTCAAGTATTAAATAACTAGTTAGTATTTTTAAAAAATTTATTAAAATCAGAAAATGTTTATTAAATTTTATAATAAATCATATTCTAAATTTAATATAAAAAATCAGAATAAATTTATTGAATCTTATACTAAATCATAAATTATTATAAATTTAGTATTAAAAATCATAATAAATTCATTAAGTTTTATAAGAAATCAGAATTTATCATAATCTTAATACTACAAAAAGGAGAATCAGTTTTTTAAATTTATAATAAAACATAATGTATTATAACTTTAATATTTAAAAAATCAGAATAAATGTATTTCTATTTACTAGTGTGAAATAAATATATTAGAATTTGTAATAAATGAAAATTAAAAATAAGAAAAGAAACTATCGGATAACCTTGTAAAAACATCAAAAAGCATAATAAATCAATAAACCGTCATTTACTAATTTGTTATTGATCTTAGTTTGTTAGCTTTATATAATGGTTGGGAATATGATAATAGTTTAGAAATATGTATTAATGCTTCTTTTATCATTTTATAAAATATCATTGCATATTTCCACAATGTCTCTAATTTTTACAATATTTCCCCTTGACATTTCCAACATTTCCAACATATGTCTTATATTTTGGTAAGCAACATTTCCATCAACATCGACATTTTAAACCTTGCCAGTACCTACGTCTACGACCCCTCTTCTTCCCAGTCCGGATCCTTCACTCATCTCAGATATCCATGTAAGTGACATTCCTGTTTCAGACCCCTCGGATGTTCCTCTAGTTCATTTACGTCGTTCTCTACCCGTATATCTAGACCACCTAACCGCTATAGTTTTCCTTTAGACCATAGCTCCTTTTCCGTTGTCTTGTCTTCCACAAATATTCCCCGATCATACAAACAAGCCATTAGCAGTCCTCAATGGAGAGATGCCATGGATGCAAAGGTTCAAGCTTTGCACAAGAATGACACTTGGGATCTAGTTCCTGCACCTTCAGATGGATCTGTTATTGGAAGCAAATGGGTCTACTCTATCAAGTTGAAGTCTGATGGGTCTCTAGACTGCTATAAAGTTCAGCTTGTGGCCTAAGGCTATACGCAAGAGTATGGCATCGATTATGAGGAGACATTTGCCCCAATAGCCAAGATCACTACAGTCCGTGTTCTCTTAGCCCTCTCTGCTGCAAAATCTTGGACTATCTTTCAACTAGATGTGAAAAATGCCTTTCTTCATGGGCACCTAAAGGAGACTGTTTCTATGAATCCTCCTCCAGGGTACTGTAGTGATTCCTCCCTCATTGTTGATTGAAGAAATCTCTCTATGGGCTAAAGCAAGATCCTCGAGCTTGGTTTGAAAAAATTCAGAGATGTTGTGCAAGCCAGGTATAACCATAGTGCTTCTAATTACTCTCTCTTTGTGCGGAAAAGACCCCAAGGTCTTACAATTCTCCTCCTATATGTGGATGACATGTTGTTGATTGGAGATGATATTGAAGGAATTTAGGAGCTCAAGTCTCTTCTTCACAATTCCTTTCACATGAAGGATTTAGGCCCTCTTACCTATTTCTTGGGGCTTGAAGTTCAAAGGAGTTCCCGGGGATAATTCATTTGCCAACACAAGTATGCATGTGATCTTGTCCAGTTGGCCAGTCTTACCGACAACAAACGGGTAGACACTCCCTTAGAGTTGAATGTCAAATTGCCCAAGTCAGACGGTCCCTTGCTTCCTAATGCCTCCCTCTATAGGCAACTTGTGGGATCTTTCATCTATCTCACCATGACTCGTCCTAACATCTCGCATGTAGTTCAGGTCGTCAGTAAATTTGTCTCTGCCCCATGTCAACCCCATTTGATTTCGGTACATCGGATCATTTTTTACGTTCGGGGCACTTTATCACAAGGTCTCTTCTTCTCTTCATCTTCCTCTATACATCTGAGGGCCTATGTTGATGTAAATTGGGCTGGATGCCCTGACACATGTCGTTCCATTACTGGGTGGTGTGTCTTCATGGGTGACTCTCTAATCTCATGGAAATACAAGAAACAACAGGCTATTTCCAAGTCCTCTACGGAAGTAGAGTACATGGCAATGTCATTCGTTTGTAGTGAAGTTGTTTAGCTTCAATCTTTATTTCAGGAATTGGGTCACACCTCTCCTACACCCATACCTCTGTGTGCAGACAACACTAGTGCTATTAGGATTGCCTCTAATCCTGTCTTTCATGAAAGGACGAAGCATATTGAGGTGGACTGCCACTTTATTCATGACCTGCTTCTTGTGGGCTCTATCTCTTTCCCTCATATTGCCTCCAATATGCAAGTTGCAGACATCTTCACAAAAGCCATAACGAGATCCAAACACTTATTCCTTGTAAGCAAACTGATGCTTATCAGTTTGAGGGGGAGTGTGAAGAGTCTCACTGATGTACCATATTAGTATAGTCCTTGCTGTATTGTATCTTGTATTTTCTTGTTATTTTCTCTTTAGCCCTTCAAAGGTTTTTTGTAAATATTATTATTTTACTAATCTTTATATTGAGGCTCTTGGGGTTGGGCCGAACAATTCAGTTCTTTAACCCCAGGAATCTGTCTTCTTCTCTCTTGTACAAACCTACTTGGTTGACAGTGGTTGATAGAATCACTAAATATGCACATTTCCTGGCATTACCGCAACCTTATACAGCAGGGCTTGTAGCACAGGCCTTTACACAGCACTCCCAACACCTCTTTTCATGAGCAGATTTTGGGAATAATATTTTGAGGCTCAAGGCATCTGGATCAATCACCCTACAAGCTATCATCAAATGGATGGTCAATCTGAGGTGGTAAACAAATGTTTGGAAACTTACCTACAATGCTTTATTGGGGAGTGACCGAAGCAGTGGCCACAATGGCTACCTTGGGCTGAGTATTTGTATAATACATCATATCACATTTCCACTGAAAGTACTCCATTCAAAATCTTATATGGCAGAGATCCTTCAGCCATCTTACCATATGAGAAGGGGTGATCTGCCTTGGCCGAAGTGGATTACCAGTTACCAATAAGAGATGCCATCCTCAAGTCCCTCAGAATGAACCTGCAGAAAGCCCATCAGAAGATGAAATCAGTATATGATAAGAGGCACCATGAAGTAGAGTATGCAGTGGGTGACTTGGTATATCTGAAGCTGCAAGCATACGTCAGTCATCTTAGTTCAGAAAGCATGGCTGAAATTATCACCATGGTACTTTGGGCCTCTCTAGGTGTTGTAGAGTGTGGGACAAGTGGCTAACAGATTGGACCTACCCCAATCTTCCAAGTTACATCCAGTATTTCATGCATCTTTGTTGAAGCCCTGTATCACCACTTCTACTACTGTTAGTCCTACTCTTCCATTGTTCTAAGATAATGGGTAATTACTAGTGGATCCCTTGCAGATCACAGACATGCGGTAGGTCAAACAGGGGAAAAAGATCACTAAACAAGTCCTATTCACATGGAGAAACCTGTTTTTCAATGATGCCACGTGGGAAGACTACAAGTTACAGCAACAGTTTCCCCATATCAACCATGAGGACAAGGTTGTACTCAAAGGGGAGGGAGTTAATAAGACCCAAGTCCTACAGTCAGAAGCAAATCCAGATGCTTCAGCCCAAGTCCATGTTTCCACAGGCTGAGCAGCACATGCATCCAGCCGGGGGAGAATCACACACATCACCACTCTTAAATATGTCTACTCCAGAAGGACACATCAGCCATAGTTATCTGCTGGATGTATTTCACATATGATTGTTGCCTCTGTAAAAGGATAAAAATAAACCATTTGAATGATTGAATAGAGAGATCTCTCTGTTAAATTTCAAAAGTCTCAAAAATGCGTGCCATACATACATACATACATACATACATACATACTGCAACATGAGATATTCTAAATCACTACTGCAACATGATATATTTGGAAACAAGATGAATAAGCCTTTTTGCTGTAATGTAGAATCTATACTTTCAACTATCCTAAAGAGCTCTTCCCTTTTCTTGCAATGTTGTGCTTATTTTAAGTTCTACTCTTTCAAGATCTTTCCATTTACTTTTGATTTTTCCTTTGTACAGACAATTCTATCTGCCCTTGCAGACATTAGTAGCATGCGCTTTGTGAATGGTGTAGGTTCATGTACTGGAATAATGGGAATTGATTTCCGCAGAGCAACCTGGCTCTACAAGTATGTTAACAGCATTTGAATCTAGTTCAAGTTAAATATTAAGATTGTACATGCAAATCATGCTATTTGCTAACTAATTCTTTGTAGTGGTTTTCTGTGAGTGTTATTTAGAGTTTTCATAAAGTTTCTGTTGAGATTCAGCAGTTTCTTATGATTTTCTTGTTTATAATCACTAGTTTGTATTATTGGGTCATTAGTTAGTGTTATTGGGACCAGACCATTAGTTTATATTGTTTTTTGGAGTTGTTTTTATGTTATGAACAGTAGTCACCCTATTAAGGGCATATTAGTCCTTGTAATCAATCTTTTTTATGAGTATATAAGATAATGAGTGGAGCGGCCAGATTATCATTGGCTTCTCCCCATCTCTTCTTCTCTTCTCACTAAAAACTATCTCTTTTTCTCTTCTTTCTCACTGTTATCAAATCAAATTATTGTTTTTTCTTTTATACTTGGTATCAAAGCAGTTTTTTGAGATTTTTTGAGCCTTCCATCATGCAGCCCTAGATCAGCCGACTGCATAGTGAGTTAGAGAGCTGATCGAAGACTTCAAAAGTGCCTAGTTCTTGGATTTTTTTGGTGGATCTAAAACCCTTTGTCTCAGATCTTGGGTTGATCATCGAAATCAGGAAGAACTGGAGGAAGAGTTTTGATTGCTGTAGGACTTCAATTTTGACCTAGGAAGGGGCACTCTAGATTTTTTGGATTTCTTGGTGATTTTTGAAGAGGGAAGTTCAAATTCTAGAGTCATTTGAGGTCTCTAGAGGGAGTTACAACCTTTTCTCCTGTTTCTACCTGCTCCTACAGAGAAAGGAATCTTTGTGGGTGAAGGTTTTTGGGTTCCAAAAGGGTGGTTGAGACCTCTAAAGGGGGTAAATCTGTCTTTCCTCATCTACGGTTGATCTCCTAGGATATTTTGGGATTTCCTAGGCTAGGCTTATACAAGTCCACAGGTGAAATAGGGATAAGGGTGGTAGTGATGATAGGAAGGAGGACAAGAAGGACATGATCTGTGACTACTATAAGAAGCCTAAGTATACCATAGATACCTGCTGGAAGTAAGGGCACTCCAACCGACCACCATCATGGATGTTGTTGCCCAGACCAAGATCCAAGAAGAAAGGCTGAGCGGAACAAGGAAACTCAGCCGGCCTTGGTTACCACCTCAAAGATCGGCCAGCTTTCCAAGGCTTGACGAACACAGGAGTGAAGGATTTGGCCCAGTGAAGGAAGACAGCATTCTGGGTAAGCCAAGAGTTATGAACACCGGCTCATCTATTCCCTTCAAGAAGCTATCGTGGGCCGAGATGCAAGCCCACAGAGAAAAGGGTCTCTGCTATAATTGTGATGAACGATTTGGGCCAGGCCATCAGTGTAAAACAATGCAGATTTACACCCTCCAAGATGACACTGAAGATGGATATGAAAGTGGGATACATACCAACAAATCGTCAGAATTCAAATGGGCTGAAGAACAGCAACCGACATCGGAGATATCACTCCAGGCCCTTAACGGGCTCAACTCCCCACAAACTATGAGGGTTTCAGGGTGAATCAAAGGACACAAGGTGTCCATACTAATCAACAGCAGGAGCACCCTGAATTTCATAACGGAAGTGTTGGCCCAACAACTGGGGCTACCAATCCAACCCACGGCATCATTCAAGGTCCAAGTAGAAAATGGGACATCTCTTCCCTATGAAGGCATCTGTACAAGAATTGAACTGACAATCCAAGGGCAGCCATTTGTGGTGGACTTATACCCACTTGAGCTTAGAGGGACCGATATAGTATTGGGGATATAGTGGCTGAGACAATTAGGGCCGGTACTATGTGATTGGGTCCAGTTGTCAATGGAGTTCATGACAAATGGGACCAAGATCCGCCTCCAAGGTATACCAACCAGAGGCCCAAGCCCAATCAGCCTCTCGTCTCTCCTAAAACAAGCCCAGGAACCTGTTCAAACCATCCTCTAGGAGCTCACTCAGACAGGGCCCATGCTAACCCAGGCCCGGAATGCAACCCCACAAGAAGACCTTCAGCAACAGCTGAAAACACTTCTGTAGCAATATGCAGCAGTGTTTCAGGAGCCGACAGACCTATCGCCTTCACGGGAACATGACCACCGCATTCCATTACTCCCAGGAGTGACCCCTACAAATGTAAGACCCTATCGTTATCCTCAATCTCAGAAAAAAGAAATCGAGAAGCAAGTTAAAGAGCTATTAGAAAAACAATTCATCCAACCAAGCCATAGCCTATTCTCTTCCGTAGTCCTCTTAGTCAAAAAGAAAGATGGGACATGGCGTTTCTGCATTGATTATAGAGCACTTAATAGCATCACCATATCGGTTCCCAATCCCAGTGATTGATGAGCTCAAGGAAGCCTGAATCTTTTCCAAACTAGATTTACGGGTCGACTATCATCAGATTAGAGTGCACATGGATGACATATGCAAGACTACATTCCGCACACATAACGGACATTATGAATTCCGGGTCATGCCCTTTGGGCTCACAAATGCCCTGACAACGTTCTAGTCCCTCATGAATGATTTATTTCGTCTGTACTTACGACGGTTTATACTGGTTTTCTTTGATGATATCTTAGTCTACAGCCCCACATGGTTCCAAAACATGGAAGACCTAGAAGTCACCTTGAAGGTTCTCTTGCAAAATCAACTGTATGTGAAGGCATCCAAGTGTGCTTTTGGACAGTCCCAAGTACACTACCTCAGGAACGTGGTAGAAGGAGGCGTGGTAATGGCAGACCCCGAGAAAGTAGCAAGCATCCAACGGTGGCCCGTGTCTGCAAATGTGAAGGAACTCCGAGCCTTCTTGGGCTTGATAGGATACTATCACCGCTTCATTAGCGGCTATGGCCTCATTGCTAGCCATTACACATCTACTAAGGAAGGATGCATTCACATGGACTCCAAAAGCCCAACAGGCCTTTGAAAATCCCAAAACGACCCTGTCTTCACCACCAGCATTAACATTACCTAACTTCAACCAAACATTTGTTATAGAGTGCGATGCATCGGGTCAAGGAGTTGGAATTGTATTAATGCAAGAAGGGAAACCCCTTGCCTTCTTTAGTAAAGCACTCTCAATTCAGCGGGGATCTAGCTCAGTGTACACAAGGGAGCTGATAGCCGTAGTCTTGGTGGTCTTACATTGTTATTCCTATCTATTGGGGCGCAAGTTCATAATCAAAACAAGGGGACCATGTTCATGGGGTTCGATTATTCAATTAATATCGACTAGGAGCAACCAATAAGGTTGTTGATGCACTATCAAGACACCCAGAATTGCAGCAACTATAGGTCTCTCTTCAGCCCAAAGATAAACTCTAGGACCAAATTCGGGAAGAGGCAGTAACAAGTCCCAAACTGCAACAGATGAAAAACCGCCTATCACAGCGAGCTGAGCTGAGCCTGATCACAAGACTCACAATGAAGACTGGACAAATTAATTCCCTTAAATAGTTTTGAAGATAAATGACTCAATGCAGTAAAAGAAAGATGACCCAAACGAAAATGACATAACATGACACGACTGACAAACTCTGAAGATGTAGATCCAAAGTCAACTTTCCCAGGTTGTCCTTGGCTCTGTCCAAGAGTATCCAACAGATATATTCCATTCGCCTCATGGCCACTCCCAATCACTTTCTGAGACTCCAGATCCTAAAAAACACAGTAGGAAGGAAAAAAGGTTACACTACAATTCAAAGACTTAGTTAGGCTGCTTACAAATAACAAATTTGTATTTAGTTTGGGTACATGAAGAGCAAAAGGAAGTAAAAGAGAATTTGTAGCCTTGATGGCTCCCTTGCCAGAGATAGGAGAAAGAGTGCCATCGGCTAGGGTGATTTTATCACGGCCAGGAAGCAAATCATAAGAAATAAACAAGGTGGAAAGGCTGGTCATATGGTCAGAAGCACCAAAATAAATAATCCAAGGGATCCTACGATTACTTAAGATAGTTGCATGATTGGCAGAAGCCCGTATACCTGAATGAGCAAATGCATAAGAAGTTAAATTTCCTAGAGGGTTGGAAGAAGAGGCAGCACAGTCAAGTCTAGCCGTAGGGTTAATGACAAACCCTAAAAAAAACTGATCGCCTCTGAGAAAATAAAGGGGAGTTCAGCCRCTCCTCCTAGATAGGTCCAACCTATCTTTGACTAACAACGATCTCAAGGAAAGATAGAAACTTACCCAGAAAACTCTGATCGCTACCTTCAATCGCGACCTGAACCCTAATATTGATCCTTTGAACCTTCTCTGATTCTTCCTGATTACCAAAACACTCTCCAAGCCTCTACAAGCCTTCGGACAGCTGCTAAACCCTTCTGGTAACCTCCAAGAATCAGCCAACAAACAGTCCTTTGTAAGCTTCCAGCCCTAGACAGTTCTCATGTGGTCGGCTGGACTAGACACACATGAGAAACCCTAGATAGGCTCTGATACCAAGTAGTCTATCAAGACTACAATCAGTCTTGAATCCCAAAAAGGTTTCGGATTGAGAAAAGTAGAAGGAAAGAAGAAGAAGAAAAGAAGAAAGCAGAAGTACACAAGGGTTTAGGAAAAGAGGGACAGATCGAATGAATCTGTCGCTGCCACCCTCTCAATATTTATATGTTATGTTCACTAATTGTAGGAAAGGGCAGAATTGCCCTTAATGCTTACATGGAAAATAAAAACAATAATAAACTGAAATAACAAGCTGTCTGAAATAACTACCAACTAACACTGATATAACTAACAAAGGTTACATGTGCTGTCATACAAACACAGTGGGGACCACAGCCGTGGGGCCCACATCAGTGTTCTCTACATTCTCTTTATTCTCTTTGTTACTTTTGGAGGGCAGATTTATCCTTTCAACCTATTGTAACATTTTAACATAAATACAATTTCTTTCTTGGGTGTGGCTAATTGAGCACACACCCAAAAACTCTATTCTTGTCTCTTTCAAATGGTACTAACAAGGGGGAA